GTTCTTCATCACCCTACTTGTGACACCACGGGAGGGAGGGAAGACGATCACGGCATCGTAGTGACGCACGCGACCACCAGGGCGGCGGACTCCGGTCGGCCCGCGAAGACGGACAGGTACGCGACCACCAGGGCGGCGGACTAAGGTCGGCCCGCTAAGACGGACAGGTACGAGACCGCAAGGGCGACGGACTCCGGTCGGCCCACGAAGATTCACTCAGTTCCGGAACCAAAACACTTCTTATATTTGTTATTTATTGAAATGTAATAATTGTAATGTATTGAAGAGGGCGGTTAGTCGGGGACATGTCCCGTCAACCCCTCCACGCATGTATGTATTATTTGTAATTTGTTATCAAATAAACGATGGCGGCGCCGCGGCAGTAATGCGAAAGCAATTCCCGCGGCGCCGTCGGTTCAAAACTGGAAAAAAAAAAAAAAGGTTAGGTTAGGTTAGGTTAGTTGTGTACGGTCGTCAGTTGTGTACGGTCGTCAGTTGTGTACGGTCGTCAGTTGTGTACGGTCGCAGTTGTGTACGGTCGTCAGTTGTGTACGGTCGTCAGTTGTGTACGGTCGTCGTTAGCGTGCGGACGTCTGCTCCTGACCAGCGTCTCCTCAGCAGGTCCTCCAACACGATAACGTTACAGTCTTAGTACGTCCAGCGATTACAGCGACCCCTTGCACCCGGCCACAGAGGCGGCACCGCTGTCCCGGCCGCATACGTGCAGCAGGCGGAAAGCCGTAAGTACGCTTTCGGTTTTTCGAAAATATCTCGCCAGGGCTTGCTCGGAGCGTCTCGGGAGCAAAAATTTGCCCACCCAAAACTCCCTGACCTCCCTGGGCGACCACCGATAGGCCCCCGAAAACCCGGTCACTCTAGCCCTAACCAAGGCCGAGTTATAGGGCACCGAAGTTGGCACTTCTAGCAAAACCGCATTCCAGAACCCAGACAGCGGGATCGCCGGCGGCGATCCTACCAGGGCCCCAAGGGGCTCCAACAACCCCCCCCCCCACAATACAGCGCCCAACGCCCGGAACCAGCCCGGTCCCCGGGGCGATCCTCCACACGATGCACGACATGGAACAGTACGATGACACGGACGACGTCCAGGATGTCAACATGATGTCTCCAACCGGCCGCTACCTAATAACCGGAAAGCTTGATCCCCCCCTCTCCGAAACATCAGTAAAAAGGAAAGGCGGAACAAGCCCGCCTCAGAAGTCTACCACTGGATTCACCGACCTGGAAACTAGCCTCAAATCTATGAAGGAGACTCTGAGCTCCGCGGTCAGGGTCACTAGGATGGAATCGTCAAAGCCAAACGGACCTCCAGTCCTTTATAGGCTCGCATCGCTTCTTACGGATCTCTCCGTCGTCCTCGATGGCATTTTGGCGGAGAAGGGAAACCTCGTTTCCTCCTTAACGTCGCCGACCAAGAAGAAACCCAGGATTACAGTGGTAGATCAGCCCGCTCAAAAACCCGTCATGGCAGATGCCTCCACCGACACAATCTTAACCCCGAGATGGTGGGACAGTGATAACGTCATCGAGACTAGGGCCGCTTCCAGGCGCAAGAAAGCAAAGAATATCACAGGGGTTGGCGTTCAGTCAACAGCAAGGGATGCCGAAGCCGAGTCGGCCATGGAAACTGACGGTGAAAACTGGTCCACGGTCCTGAAGAGACCTCCGAAAACTAGAGGAACAGCCTTTCACAGAGCGTGGCCACGACCAGCCGCCCACAGTTGAAGGGACCCTCGAAGAAACCCCCGGCAGTGCTGATCAAGCCATCCGATGGGAAAATCTTCGCGGACACGGTCAGGACGCTGAGGTCATCCGGTTTGTCCGTGCAGGAGCTAGGCGCGAACGTCACCATGAGGGAGACGAGAGACGGGTGTGTACTCATGGAGTTGGCCGGTGGCGCCAAATCAGGCGCAGCAGTTAAGAGCACCGCATCTGCCATCTCGGCAAAGCTGGGGGATTCTGTTGGAAAGGTAATCCAACTTGGCGCCCAAGTCGAGGTAGAGGTATTGGACTTGGACGCTGTTTCCTCCGCGGCCGAGGTGCTCGAGGCGCTCCGAAAGGCCATACCGGGCGACGACCCGGCGGCGGTAGCTGAACGCGAGGCAATCAGCGACGTCAGGATCTGGTCAGTACGGGCGGGCCAACAGATCGCTACGGCCAAAGTTAGTAGACGCGTTGCCTCACTGCTCACAAGGATCCCGGTCGGATGGACCATGTGCCGTGTGCGTCCGAGGACTCCTCCACCGGAGAGATGCTTCAGGTGTCAGGCCTTTGGTCACAACTCTAGGAGCTGCAATGCGGCGGACAGATCTGGAGCGTGCTGGAGATGTGGTGACCCCGATCACCGGATGGCTTCGTGTAAAGCGGACCAAGATCGTTTCCTGGCTTGCGATCTGGCTGGGCTTCCTAAGACTACCCACAAACCGGGATCCGGCGCTTGCGCCGCCAGACGGATGGCTGCAGGAGGAAAACCGACCATCAATGGTTAAGTTCCTCCAAATTAACTTGAACAAGAATTGGGCGGCCGAGCAGTTAATGTTCCAGACCGCCGATGAGACTGGCACCGATATACTTTTAGTGAGCGAACCCTTCAGGAGACTAGGCCCCGAGGACATGTGGTGTTTCAGCACCGACCGCAAAGCCGCCGTAGCAACCACCCAAGGGACAATGCTCGTTCGCAGCGCGCACGGCGCAGGCGAAGGCTTCGCGTGGGCGACTTTTGGAGACTTGTCAGTCTTCAGCTGCTACTGGAGGCCCGGCACGACGCTTCAGGAATTCGCTCTCTTCCTGGCCGACCTCGAAGGCGCAATCCGGGCAAATGACAGTCCAAGCGTCGTTGTAGGAGGCGACTTCAACGCGTGGAACACAGAATGGGGATCCAGAGCGAATAACCCCAGGGGTTGCCTCCTCTCCGACTTTGCGATCAGTCTCGGTCTGCTACTGTCGAACACCGGGTCCGTCCCCACGTTCGTTAGAGGCACGGCCACGTCCGTTATTGACGTCACGTTTCATCGAGGACCGGGCCTGATCGGCTGGCGCGTCCTGGAGGCTGATTCGCTGAGCGACCACGCATACGTGTACTTCGAGTCGTTCGTCGAGCAGCAGACCCCTCCACGCCACGAACCGCCTCCAGCCGCTCACCACGGTTGGTCGACCAAAAAGAGGGACGCTGAAGCCCTCTTCAACTACCTCCGGGACGTGCACCCAGAAGCAGTCGAGGGACCAATAGGTACTGACAGGGCTTTGGCGTCTGCAAGAGCGCTGGATGAATTCCTCTTCGGCGCTTGCTAGGCGTCGATGCCGAGGCGGAGACCGGGCCCCCCGGGCAAGCGCCCGGTCCACTGGTGGACAGATGATATCGCTGAGCTAAGGCGGAAATGCTTAGCCTCCCGTCGGGTGTATCAGAATCAGCTGAGATCAGTGGACCAGCGCGGAATGCAGGAGGCGCGATTCGCCTTTATCTCTGCCAGGAAGAATCTCCGCTCCGCAATCCGCGAAGCCAAGAAGAAGTCCTGGTCTGACCTTTTCGACCAGGTGGAGGTGGATCCTTGGGGCAAGCCCTATAAACTGGTGATGGGGAAACTAGGTTCTCGCAATCGGGACTCGGGCTGTATAGGCAGAGAGGCCGAGATTGCGGACTTCCTCTTTCCCGCCGCCCCCCCGACGAATTGGGACGAGGCACCCTCCTCGGTCGTCCTCAACTTGTTCGAGGAAATCGACCCCGTCCTGAACACCCCCATATTCACGAGGGTGATCCCACTGTTCACGGCCGACGAGCTGTCCCGGGCCGCAAAGAGATTATCGTCAGGGAAATCCCCAGGGCCATCGGGAATCCCCAACGAGGTGTTAAGGAGATATGTGACGACTAGACCCCGGGCCGCACTGAGGGTCTACAACGATTGCCTACAGGCCCTTTCGTTCCCACCACGCTGGAAGAAGGCCTGGCTCGTTCTCATCCGGAAAGAGCCTGATAAACCCCCCGAAGCCCCCTCCAGTTATAGACCGATTTGCCTACTAGACACTCCAGGCAAGCTGCTGGAGAGACTCCTGCTCCAACGCCTCGAGGCCCACCTCGACGAGCACGGCGGCCGCAGAAGGGCGGCGAATCAATTCGGGTTTCGGAAAGGAATCTCAACCGAGTCAGCAGTAGGTAGGGTCTTGTCGATTGCAGCGAATGCCGCATCTAACACTAAGGATTTATGCGTCCTGGTTACGCTAGATGTAAAAAACGCTTTTAACTCGCTCCGTTGGCCGGTCATCGACGAGGCCCTACGGAAAAAACACGTTCCCGAATATCTGGTAGAAATGCTGCGGTCTTGGCTAACTGACAGGGAGCTCCTTACCGGAGAGGAGATGACTCCGCGGCCGGTCACGTGTGGGGTGCCGCAGGGGTCGGTCTTGGGCCCTACTTTGTGGAACGTCGCCTACGACTCTCTCTTAGAGATGAACGTTCCGCGTGGGGTCCACCTTGTCGGGTTCGCAGATGATCTTGCGGTTGTGGGCGTGGCCAGTACGGGCCAGCTGTTGGAGGACGTTGTCAACCCAGTACTGCGGTCCATCGACGCCTGGATGACGAGTAGGGGTCTTGAGCTCGCTCATCACAAAACCGAGGCAGTAATGCTATCCAGGAGGTTGGCATTCGTCCCCCCTCGCCTTGAGGTCGGCGGTCACGCGATCGCCCTGTTGAAGGACCTGAGGTCCCTCGGGGTAAGGCTGGATACGAGGATGACATTTTATACCCATGTACAACTAGTGGCGAAGAAGGCTACTGCTTCGGCGACGGCTTTGGCAAGACTCATGCCAAACATCAATGGGCCCGGGCAGTGGAAGAGGCGGCTACTGGCCTCCGTAGTGGAGAGCCAGCTCCTCTACGCCGCCCCCATTTGGTCAGCTGCAGTATCGGCATCGGCGAGGACTACCGGCGCTCTTACACGCCCACAAAGATTAGTCGCCCTGCGAGTCATAANCATGTACGCCACTTAAGTTAAGGCAGTGAGCAGCGCATGGAATGAATGTGGCTAAATTGTTTTTATTTAATATGACTGCCTGAACGCCATGGTATTTTCCTGACATGTTAGCTCCATTGTCATACCCCTGTCCCCGTACATTTTGTACATCAAGTTCATCAGCTTTTAATTTTGTTAATATTTCCATAGCCAACCCGTCCCCAGTTTTTTCCTCCGTGTTTATGAAATCTATAAAACTTTCTTCAACTGTAATTTTTCCATTGTCAATATCAACATAACGAATCACTTCAGCCATTTGTTCATTATGTGACACGTCGGGAGTGCAGTCAAACAGCAAAGAAAAATATTTTGCTTTTTTTATTTTAGATAATATTTTATTTCGAACTGTTTGTCCCAACAAACAGATAAATTCATTTTGTATTTTTGGAGATATATAACTGATAGCTCCCTTGTTATGATTTAAAAGATGTTGTTTTAGAATATTATCATATTTGCTGAGTAATTCTATTAAATTTAGAAAAATACCAGAATGTTTATTTCCTACTGTTGTGCTCGATCCTCTAAATGCTAAATTATTTTTTGTGCAAAATAAAATTGCATCTAAAATTATACGAAGTATATGACGCCATCGATCTTTTTCTAGCAAAATCGCCTTTTGTAATTTATCGTCAATGCATTGAGAGTTTTTCAACCTATTTTCAAGAGATTTCCATTGTAAGAAATGATTTCTATGATCAGCCGATTTCTCGTGATCTAAAATACGATTAATATTTTTCCAATCCGAAAAACCCTCGTTTGTACATGCAATACTTGCTGTTTTTAAGGTATTTGATTTAAATAAACAGCATGGAAAACAGAATACGGCTTTACTATTTTTAGAATAAATCAACCAATTTCTGTCTATAACTTCATTGTTCGGTAAAGTTTTTTTAAACCAATAAGGGGAAAATCGACGACCATCGTCTGACATAGATTTACTAAAATCAGCATCTTTACCTTGATCAAGTTCTTGCGTTACAAGGTAAACTCTAACGCTATCCGTAATTGGGGGCCAAGAAGGTGGATCGTTACAATTTATAAGTTGAAAAAATGATTCAAAACTAGTTGAAGAAGATGGGGTAGGTTCATGAATATCGGATGAAATATCCTGAATTATTTCACTTGATTTTATTGTAATAGAACTAACACAAGTTTCAATTTCTTCACCTACTAATATTGGCTTATTATGAAATGAGTCATTTGAATCACCGGAATTTTCTTCTGAAATAAAGATTAATGATTATGAATACTATTTATTTCTGAATAAATCTCGTTCTTGCAAACGTACATTTGGTACAACGGATAACGCACAAGGAACAGACAACAGTAACAATTATTTACGATAGACGGATAATAATTGACATAATATAGATAATGTATTATATAAAATCACCGAAATTGTAGAAATCGTTTAAATAATTATAAATACTAACTAGTAACTACATCTTTTCAGTGGCGATTTGAAAAGGCTGTGGCGGCGCCTCACAAAAAAAATCTTCTTTACGAAGTTTAATAATATGAATTATCATTTATTTTATTATAGTATAATATTATTCCGTGTTTATTACCAAAAATAGCGATAAACCGATAAGAAATGCACGAAATAACAATTACGTAAACCGTAAACAAACGCTCATATATTTTCAGCTTTTGGTACTACTTTGAAGAAAACCGGAGCAGTTTTACAGTTTTACTACCTTAACTTTTAATTAGAAAATAAACTAACCTTTATCTTCTTGATATTCTTTCAAGTTTGACACTAAGTCAACCGATTTTTCATCTGAAACAGAACCTTTAGAAAACCAGTCTTTCATTTGTTTTGACAATTGTACGTCTTCATTTGCTTTTTTTTTCTTAATACTTCGATTCTCTGCTCCACTTCGTTTCTTTTTATTATTCATTATTATTTTTTAATAGTTAAACTATCTGTATAGTTTAAAAACACATTAATTTAGTATAAATAATTTGTACCTGTTTCTTGTTCGAAAAAAAAATAGAAAGCTACACACTTGCCAAGTGATCAGCAAATACTAAGTCAAATTATTAAAATAGTAATAATTACACAAAATTTGTTCACTATTTATAAACTGATCTATCGTACGTATATCAACTGATATAATATAGATAATAGATATTAAGCATGTACGTCGATCGATTCGTCGATTAAACAGAAAATAAAGATAATAATATAATATAATATACTACTGTCTAGTGTCTACTATCAACAAAATACCCATATAACTAATAATGGTATACTATTCTTATCGGCGATCAACGTCGTCGTAATTTCGGGGAAAAAAAATAAACATTATGTTTACGGATTAGTGCGTAGCAATGAAAAATATTATTTTGACAATATTTTTTCATAAATTAATCATTTAATATTTTTGCGCCCCCCAGCATCAGGCGCCCAAGGCAAACGCCTCGCTCGCCTCACCCTAGTTACGGCTCTGGTATTCCAATCTTCAATTCTAATTAACATATTCAGATGATTAAAGTCAATTTTTTTAAATTCAGTATTAGAATTGTTGTATCAACATTTTTACAATCAAGTAAAGTATTCCAATCTTCAATTCTAATTAACATATTCAGATGATTAAAGTCAATTTTTTTAAATTCAGTATTAGAATTGTTGTTAGCCCTAGTTTTTTGAATGTTTAAATCATCAGAATTAATATTTAAGATTAAACTAAAATGATCAGTAATACTACTACTTAATATAAAAGCTGATACTTCTTTAATATTAATATTTTTAACAAATAAGTGGTCAATACACGTGTTAAAATGACTACTGATTCTGGTAGCCGGTAGGCTGATTACAAGCAGAGTAAAAGTTATTGCTATACAAAATATTCAAATAATCAACTGTTTCATTATTATTTAATAAAATATCAATATTAATATCACCACATAATATTTGATCATAATTTTGATTATATTGCGATAAATAATCATTCAGAGAAGATAAGAAACCTTCCAAGATATGACTAGGTGACCTATATATGCCGGTTAGATTAAATTGTGAATTACCTTTATTTATAGTTAATTCAATAGAGTTACAGTTAGATATAATTATAATATTCGTGTGTAATTCTTAAAGTGAATTTTCCATTTGTTTTAAAAAAAATATTGCATGGCACAGTTGTGGGCAACTGGCGGCCCTCGAGCCTTTTTCATTTGGCCCACCCTACATTTTCAAATTGCATTAGGTATAGGTATACAAGTCGATTTTGCCGTGTTGTCATTAGAAGCCACACATCCTAAAAACTCTCACCAAACTGCAAATAACTATTTATATTTAAATATTTAATTAAATTATTTTCAATAACGTTTTTTGTATTACCTATTTCATTATAAACAAAATAAATGCTAATTGATCGAATAAACTTAGCCCTTAAAGACCTTAAAAATATTTTAACCAATCTATCACTTGAAATCGCCCCTGAAAAATGCAAGTCCGTCATCTTTACCAGGCGAAGATACGCCGACCATTCAAATACTTTTTTAGACGAATACACCATTCCCTTTGCCCCTAATGTCACCTACCTCGGCCTCACCCTGGATCCTAAACTTCGTTGGCAACCTCATCTATTATCTCTTTCTGCCTTTACCTCTCGTTGGTCTAATTTTCTCAAGTCTGTTTCTAACACATGGTGGGGTTCTTATCCCAAATGTCTATTATCCATATATAGGTCAATAATTCGCTCCAAACTGGATTACGGCTGTTTCCTTTTCGGTTCGGCCTCTTTCACCAATTGGAATAAAATAAACAAACTTCAAATTGCATGTCTTAGAATAATTATGGGTTACGTTAGATCCACCCCTGGACCAGCTATTGAAGTTGAGTCCACTTGCCCCCTTTTTAACATCAGATGCCGATGGCTGGCTGGAAAATTTATCCTCAAATCACTAGCCCAATCCAATCAATTTATATTCGATACTTACTATTCTCTTTCCTTAAATTGGAGATATACACCAAAATCAATGCTGGTTCTCTCAATCGCAGCTAACTCTCTTTCCAATTTTCATCAATATATTATTAAATCAAATAAACCTCAAATCTACGAGCAGTCTTATGAATCCCTCCTATTCACTCCTCTTGTTCACATTGATGGTCAATTCACTAATCTGTCTTCTCACCAGCTTAAACAAATGTCTAACTCCGTGGTCAATAATATCCTTTCCAATCACCTCAATATTCTGTTTCCTAACACTTTGGTTATTTACACTGACGGATCAGTCTCCCGGTTATCAGCTGGATACTCATTCTATATACCCGAGTTGCATGTCTCTTTCGCTAATAACCTCCCTCCTACATCATCTCTCTTTACTGCATAGTGTTATGCAATCTATTAAGCCCTTTTATTTATTTCAAATACAGATCCGGGTAACTACTTAATAGCTACTGACTCTTTGTCTTGTTTACAAGCCCTAGTTTCCAACCCCTTTAACTCCAAACTATCCCCTCTTGTTTTTCGCATTAAGTCTTTTATATACTACCTTAATAATTCTCATCGCTCTATTCAATTTTTGTGGATTCCCAGCCACATTGGCATACTTTGCAACGAAGTGGCCGACCGGCTAGCCAAATCCACTGCCATCACAATCCTACCTTCCCCAGCTCAATTACCTTGGACTGATTTCTCCCCCCTTTTACGCCGTCACATCCTCAGTCTTTGGTCTACCTAATGGAATAATTTACCCGTTGGTTTTGCTTCCAAATATAAAAATACTGCTCCTATAATCTCAAACAACAAAACTTGGTTTAACAACCTGAACCTACCTAGAACAACAATTGTACGTTTTAACCGCCTCCGCGTGGGCCACTCTCTCTTACCAGACCACGCCTATAAACTTGGTCTAAATGACTCTCCCATGTGCACTCTGCATACCACTGAAAGTGTCTGCGACCTCCAGCATTTACTTTTTCATTGTCCGTCTCTCCGCTCCGAACGTCTAAACCTACTCAAATTATTTAGCGCCCTCAATATCTCTCCAAACCTTTTTTCCATCCTCAACTCTAACTCTGTAATCGTCATCAACAAAATTATTAAGCTTATTTTGGACGCTGGTTTTGCCATCTAATTAGCTGTTTTTTTGTATTTGTCTATAATTTCTTCTTGTACTTCTTGTAATTAGCTTAATATTTTTCTTATATAATTGCTATATTTAATTGTTATATGAATTTTATGTTATATGTATCTTTCTTAGATGTATATATATATAAGCTGTAAACCCTTAAGAAAATAATTGTTGAGCTAAAATGGTTTTATACCAGCAGCTAATAAAAAAAAAAAAAAATGCTAATTAAAATGCATATTTTGAATGACCTTTTTTTTTTTTCTATCCTCTGGCCCGCTAGATTTTAAATTTCTAAAAATTGGCTCTCTAGTAACTTTGAGTTGCCCATCCCTGGCATAAAATTATAATATAATTATATAATTATATTGTCCCTCAGAGTGCGCTGTATTTAGCGTCTCTATTCTAGTAAAATGAATACTTCGGGATTTTTTTTTCAAGGTTGGTACCATGGTATGACATAGTTCTTATCATAATTGGGATAACTGTATCTCGCCGTTTAACGCTAACCTTCTACATGTACACCAACGTTACCGAATAAAATATCTCTAATTTTAATATCTTTTTAATAAAGTAATTTGAAATATGCTTAATTGTTCATCATCTGCCATGGTGCACTTCACTCAAAAACTTACTACAAAGTACAAGCCCTTCATTGAAGACAATAAACTTAAGCTATGTTCTCAAGGAGCATTAAATCAAGGACAATTTTGGATATATATACTTTAAAAGTAAAGCAACTGAAAGAAAAATGTAAATTA